CCCGGCGGGTCTGAAGCCGATGCCGGGGGAGAAGGGAGCAGGGGCAGATTTGCCCGTACGCCCCCCGCCGGGGCGGGAGTTCCCGAAGGCTCCTTAGGCCGCAGCCCTCGGCATCTGCGCTGCGGCGGCGGCTGCGGCTGGGGGTCCCGGGCCGCGGGTCCTGCACGCAGCGTCTCTCGTCCTCCGCACCACCTTTTTTTTTTTCCTTTCTTTTTTTTTTGGCTAAGTGATTCCTTTCAAGCAATCTGCTTGCACCTTTGCTGGAGACGATTGAAATGGCTGTTTAGCTGGAGCGTCATCTCGCTGAGTTACTTCTACAATTTATTGTGAGTAACGGATGTCACTTGCAGGGAGGTTTAATAAACATCTCTCTGCTCGTAGCCCTGAAATGGCTGCATGTAGCGGAGATGAGACATAGACTGGCTCACAGACAAGAGGGAGGAGTGGAGCTCTAGTCCTGTAACTAAAAACAAATAAAGAAGGGAGGGTGCGTTAGACAGACTGATGGAACCAGCCTCCCTTCCTGCTCGTGACGCATCTGCCAGCAGACAGCAGCCTTCTCCATGAATTCACTGCTCGGATCTGTGTCCAGCTCCCCTGTATCACGCTTGCCATCAAGACTGCTGATTCAGTGCAGTTTTGCATGTGATGAGCTCAGCTGGATCCACACCTCTCTTGTCCGCTGCTTGGTGGACACATCCTTGTCCCTAATAACCCACAGCTGTTGCAGGGTGACTGCTCCAGCACATAAGTCAAAGAGCCCCTGAAAAACATCCACCCCCCCAAAAAAAGCAAAGACCACCTGAAAGATAGTCAAAACATGTACTGGGGAAGTGTCTGTGTCACTCCAGTGCTCCAGAATTCCCAAGCCAAGCAAAACCCGGCACAGTGCCTGCTTTGGGCAGGGCACTCCCAGCACTGCTGACAGCATTTGATGTAAGGCTCTGGCCGGCCGGCAGATTTGCAAACCCCAGCGTTTCCAGGGGCTTTGTTTGCGACAGCAGTCCCGCTCATTACGCAAATGCAGTCTGCTGACTGAGGCCAGTGGGAGTTTTGCATGAATGTGGCCGAGGCCAGCGGGAGTTTTGCATGAATGTGGCCTTGTCCTGCAGGGCTGCTCTCCAGGCTGGGCTGGCCCTGGAGCCATGCGAGCCGGGCGCGGGCTGGGGCTGCTCAGGAAGTGGAGCACAAAGGCAGGAAAGCAGCCAGGAGGGCAGAGGCCTGGAGCAGGCTGCACATCATCTGGCTCTGCAATGTGGCATGTTTATGGATGTTTGGATGGCTGCAGTGGGTAAAGGAGGAGGTGCATGTCCAGTTGCACAACAGGACCGCAGTCCGGCTTGGACAGTTACTTTCCACCTTTGCTGTTGCTCAACTCTGAGAAATACAGATGTGCCTTCCTGATGTCTGGGCATCTCCCATGCCCCAAATTAGGAAGAAGCAATCAAAGCACAATCCTCTGTCTCCCACTGCTGCACAGGAGCACGCAGCTGAGGCGCTGGGGCCTTCTGAATAGTGGTGACTTGTAATTTACAGCCAGAGGTAGGCACAGGCCACCGAGGAAACTGTTCTCATTATCTCTCCCCCAGATGCTCAGCTTTCCAATAGCCCTGCACCTCACCCTGAGCTCCCTGCCTGCTTTTTTGCAGCCTCCTGCTGCTCCTCCTGAGCCTCTGGCAGGGCGGCGAGGAGGATGTGCCCACAGCAGGAGCAGTGCCAGCCTGCCCTGTGCAGCTCTTTGTTCTACCTCCCTCTCCTCCGCTCTCCAAGACACTGAAACAACAAAGAGGCAGGAGATAAGAAAGCCTGGCCGTGGTTTGCCAGTCAGTAGTCAGCTGCCTGTGGTAGCTCAGCTTTGACCCCAGGGCTTATTCAGGATGGACCCCGGCAGGGCCAGGCCCACAAAAGCCTTCCCTCACCCTGTGAGGCTGCCTGTGACCCTGCTTGGGCCCGGCGGCTGACTGCCTGCCGTGGGACATCTCCACACCTGGCCACAGGCAAAGTACTCGGAGCCGTTTCCCACTCAGGCCTTGACCTGGTGCCACCATCTCCCTGCTTCTGCTCTGCTGGTGCTGCCCACGCTCCCTGAGACCGCCCGCTCCCAGGCCACCCCCAGCTGCAGACCAGCGCAGGGGGTTGGCTCTGGAAGGGGCTGTGGGGCTGCAGTAAGACCCCACAGGGTGCCAGGGCCCACGGTGATGTTTTCAGGGCTGTATATTTTGGCATCCTGGATCTACGGCAAGTGTTGACCTCAATCCATCTATCTGGGTTTGTTGGGCACTCGAGAGAAAGATTCGTCCTGCCTCTGTTCTGCCTTTTTCTCACCTGTGTCTGCGGAGTGTTGGATTGCATGCAGAGGTAGACACAGATGAGTTCTCCCAGCTGCATCACATTTACCAGGAATGCTGTGCCTCCCGGATGACACCGTGCCTGTATCACAGTAAATTACATTTAGATTTGACAGGTAGAGCAGCGGGTGGAAGAGATCTGACACAACGCCTCAGACATACCTGCCACTCACAGCCATAGTTCCCTGCACTGCTGTTTTGATCACAGAAACAATGGAGGCGATTGTCAAGTGGTAACTGATGCTCAGCGAACGTCAGTTCACTTCTCATGGTGACAGCAGACTGAAGAAATCCTCCCAGCACAGAGTATCATTCCCACAAAGAACACTGCCTTAGCTGGGCTAAGACTGCTCCAGCATCTTCCCCTGCACAAACCCAAACAACAGAGGCTGAGGAAGCGCAGCACAAGCAAGCAGCATGGTTAATGCAAGGCCGGATTCCAGGTGCACACAGAACAGCATCCCACCATGTCCCCCTCTGGAGGCAGGCACCTTCTCTACTGCGGTCCTTGGAGAAATCCTGTGAAATGAGAATCCTTCTCCTTAACTTCAACCTTCCACCACAGCATCAATAATTTACTGACAATTACTGTCCCAAAATAACCGGCTTAGCACATCCACATGCTTAGTGCATCCACTAGAAGCCGATTATTTGTTCAGCATGTCTTATCTCACTGAAAACGCACAAACTTCCCTTCAGTGTGCTCATCATGGCTTTCAAGGGACTAAGTAACCATATGACATGCAGGACCAGATAGCAGTGTGTGTGTGTGTGTGTGTGTGTGTGTGTGTGTGTTGCAGTGGGAGACAGTTTTCTCTGCACCATTGAAAACTCTGCTGCTGCTCAAGGGTCCCAGTTCCTGGCAAGTCCCTGCACTGCTGTGCACCAACAGTGCCAGCAGCTCGCCGTTCACCTGGCTCACCCCTGGCACGTAAGCTGCTTTGCAAGGAAAAGCAAGCATGGTACTGAAACGCAGCAGGGCACAGCAGTGGGGCAGCTAAGCCCGAGACCTTCACCTGCAGCCAGCCCAGCTGGAGCAGCCCCCGAGGGAAGCCCCATCCCTCAGATCGCAGCAGGGACCTTCCCACCCGCCTGCAGCCCCACCGGGTATAAGGGAGGGGCCCAACCCAGCCTGGGCACACACAGCCCATAGGATGCTGCCTCACTGTGTTGGGCTTGCTTAAAGGAAGACTTTAAAAAGAAAACTGTTTTTCCCCAATTTGTGTTTGGGATACGCAATTCATGTTGGAAATTAAATGGAAAAGAAACTGAAGTTTTAAGGGTTCGTTTCTGTTCATTCCCTGCCTGCCCCATCTCCACCCCTCTCCGCATGAAAAAGAATTGCAAAACTGAAAATACTTCGTTTTGATGAGTGATTTCAAACACGAAGGTAGTGGAGATCCCTCCTACTGCTGGAGAAACCATTTACATTGAGCACCTCTGCCAGGGAGTGTCCAGCTGGGCTCGCTCTGTCGCCCCAACAGCTGGTGCTGTGTGCCGGAGCCGTGGCTGTGCTGGCACTGGCAGCCCTGGCAGAAAGGGCGTGATGGGACCGACTGTGTGCGTGCTGCACTGTCTCCACCCGGAGCGAGGCGAGGGGAAGGCCAGCGCAGCAGTGGAAGCTGCATTTCAAGTAGCTGGATCCGGTGTGGGAGGGGATGTGTGTGGCGAGGAGGCTTCCACACCCAAGGGGACAGAATCAAAGAGCCAGCCATTTTCCTCCTCCCACCCTGACCCTCTTTGTGTGCCTTCAGTGCTGCAAGTCCCTGCCCCTCCGAAGAGCCTCTTGTTCCCCGCAGGAGAGCGATCAGCCTGCAGCCAACCTGTGGAGTCCCCCCAGCCGCCCACATGTCTCGCCAGCTGGTGCTGGGCCTGATAAATCCTAAGGAGAGTTGTCCTGAGAGAGAGGGGAAAAAATGGAGCTGCTCACCTCCTAAGGAGTGTTGCAGAGGCTCCAGATCACTTTCTTGATACAGAGAAATCCGCAGCAGTAATTGAGGTATTGTGCCTCCTCAGCCTGTAACACACATGCTCCGACTGCAGTCTTTCCAGCAGAAGCCTTGTCAGTTGAATGCCTCCTTGCTTTAATCCCCAAGATTGCTGAAGGATGCTGCTCTCATCTGATAGCATTTATGGACTGTTATAATGAGCTTTGGCTTGCTGAGATAAATTAAATTGCTCACCCAGAGGTGCAAACTTCATTAATGCCAGCAGTGAGTCAGATCAGCGTTATTCTAGCACAGAATGTAAACTGGCTGGACACATGAAAGGGGATTTGGCTGGGATTTTTTTTTCTCTTTCTTTTAACCTTCCTAATTGCTGTTGATTTGTATCTTTTTGCTGCATGTGTTCAAACTCTACTGCTTCTCCATCTCTTCATCTTCTAGGGGAAACCATCAAATAACATGCCATTCAGGACTGAATGATTTAACTGCTCAGTGTTAACAGTTAGCAATACTCTGCAGTTTTGCCTGGTGGGTTTCTAGCTCTTTCACATATTTGACAAGTCCAAGAAGATACTTAAGACTAGATCTGATGAGAAATTAAAGTGTGTCCCTTATTTCTGTCCCAGTTTAGAGGCCTACCAGTGGAAATAAGATGTTGCAGACTGAGATAAATGGCACAGAAAAGATAGGTATGAAGTTAACAATGCACACACCGTAAAAACCCAGAGAAAGTGTCACTGCATAATGTGATGGGCATGAGCTCTGTCTTGTGTCCTCAGGGGTGACACTCATGCACCTCTCATTAGGTACATGCGTGCATGTTGCGGGGGGCATGGCCATATGACAGAGTACAGGAGATTCCTCACTCGTTACATTCACCTGTTTCAGCAGGTCTAAAATTAGCTCCAGAGCCTGTGACTGGCTGTAGGGGACCAGACTTTGAGGCTCTGTGCAGGCACAAGAAAGATGTCACAGATTCCAGGTTTCAGGCTATGGGTCCTTCGGTAAAGGTTGGTTTCTCCCAGTACATTTCCCTAGTACAGGTCCTGAGGATGTCTTCTAGTTTCTTTGTACAGGAAATAACACAAATATAACACAATAAAGTTCATTCATAATAGCAGTCAAAAGCCCTGAGAGCATGGATCAGTAGGGGAGGATCTAGCCACTGGAGAAGCATTTTCAGGAGCAAATGTGTGGGAGCCATCTGTCGCCTCACCATACGTGGTGATAGTCACAGCATGTCTCTCTCTGCATCCTATTCTGAAAATTTACACCGTGACTGTAGGTTGCCTAACATATTTTGCAAGTGTTGCCTGCCAAAAGGTGCATTGCACCAAATGGGACACAAGGCTCAGCAGTGACAGTGCCCCAAGTGGCTCTGAGCAAAAGGCACTCTCAGCTGCTTTCCCTCCCCGGGGGAAGTCAAAACGCGGGTCTTGAGCATTCAGTACAGAAAGTTGCCTGCTTCCTCTAAAGCAGGGGCACAATAATCTGTTGGTTGGAGGCAAAAAACTAATTCCTGTTGAGAAATATGGTGAAAAGCTTTCAGAAGAAAGGGTATTGGCGAGGGGAGCAGCTTGCTCCAGGTGACAGCTATGGCCACCCAGCACTCCTTTACCTGCAGTCACAAGCACAAGGAACTTTTCTTTCTGTTCCTCCACATAAAAGCTGGGCAACATGCACACATATAAGAAGGCCAAAAAACCCTACAGGGCTTACAAAACATGACACAGTGCTACACAAGCTCCTTTCCTTGGGGAGGCTGGAAGGAAACAAGCGTGTGACAGTTACTCATCACATTGCTTAAGGCAAGACTGGGAGGCACAGAGATGCTGCAGCAATACGCATCGCAAAGCTACAGAATGAGGAACTGACTGACAACAGTTTCCTGGCCTATATAATGCAGGAGTCAGACCAGGTGAGGACGTGAGCTATGCTACTGTGATTCCAGGACAGCCTCATCGCCTTGGCTCTGGGGTGTTGTCTGGTATTTGATGATAAGATGAGGGGGGACCTGAATTCTCATTTGACCAGCTGAATGTGCCAAGGACACACCTTCAGCCTGGCTTGCACATGGCCCCTGCCCGCCCTGAGGGTGCATCCTGAAGTACCACTGGGTACCTGTATGGCACCATGCCTTGCACCACGTCTCTGTTCGTTACTCATCCCGACTTCATGCACAGCACCAATATTTATATGTGAAAAATGACTGTGATTTCAGCAAAAACAAACTGCCCCCTCAGTCCATTAATAAATCCTGTTTCACTGCCAAAACATTCTAATTTCCACTTCTTCAGACTTGCTTCGTCTTCATTGTCTCTATTTTTGCTGCATTTTGTCACAGCCAGCTTGTCTCTGACAAATGAAAGTTTGCCATTACGGTAAATCTTTCTGCAGTGTGGCCAGCAAAATACGAGCAGTAGAGAAGCCTCTCCTTTTTCAATAATTCTGCTAATTAAAATCACTGCCTGTACTTTCTAGATGCACTGCCTGTACTTGGGGAGGAATGGAAAGCAGAAATCGCTGCCCTCTTTGCAGGAGGCTGCGCAGCCAGGCCTGGGGCGGTGCAGCCTCTACGACAGACGGGTCTCTTGCCCTCGCCGATGTAACCTGGCGGTGGGCGTCGGAGCTACGGGATTCTTAAAGCTCGCGCAGAGCTGGCTAAAACGCGGGGTGTTCCCATTCCTGCCAAATTCCTCAGGGGAACAAGCCCCGTTCCCTCAGCAGCGCCAGGCCTGGAAGACCCCGGTGGGCAGGGGGCATCCCCCGCGCAGGGCAGGAACCCGTCCTTGCGGGTCGTTCTCTCCCGCCCGCGCTCCTCGGCAGCCCGCTGCCGGAGGGCGGCTGCTGGGG